CAACAGCCATATTCTACACTGTTGTGCGCTGGGGCAGCAGCATCATGGCAAGAGATGTAAATATTAATTTGTTGATTATACAGTGATCTTTTTTTCAATCTTTATATATATATATGTGCATTTTGCACATCTTTGTTTTACACTGACTATTTGCATATTTTGCACACACCTATTTTCCTAACTCTATTTTGTTTAGTTTTCTATATACATTTTAATTACTCTAATGCTGTAGTTATTTTAATTTTAGCCTATTCTGATGTCTGTCTTGCTTTTCCTGGGCTGGGCTGCTGTAACGCCTCAATTTCCCTTCGGGATCAATAAAGTCTTATGTTATTTCAGTAGCACAGTTATGATGTACCTACACATGAAACCCACTATTGTAACAGGGCTGTTGCACTGTATGTTGCTATAACAGGACTGTTCTACTGTAATCTTGCTGTTATCACGTAATGGAAGCGGACTCTGAAGCGCTTGGAGAAAAAATGAATAACGGACAATTAGTGAAACACAACGAACCAATCACCGTCCTGCCTTCTGCTGCGCACAGAGCCAATCAGCATGGGTGGGCGGGTGTTCCTCGGTTCCTCTGACGTCACACACGGAAGGCTTTGACAGCCGTGGAGGATGCAGAGATGATTGACGTCCCTGTTGACTAATGGAAGAAGGGGAGTGCTTGGGCTCGGCTGGTGATTGGGCGAGGAGGGCGGGAACTGTGCTCGGTCGGCACATCAAAGACAGCGAGTCGGAAGTAAGAGCTCGCAGGTATGTTAAGTTTCCCCCCTAATTGGTTCAGTGTGATTGATTTGCAGAGCCTTCCACCCCCAGAGTCAAATTCGCAAATCTATATGTACGCGTTCTTACTGGTGTCACTATGAGGTAGTTTGCTGTCTGTGATATGCAGGCGACGAGCTGTGTTTACGCAGTGTTTCCGTCGACGAGTTTTGTCATTCCGTCTCTCCGCATCTACCTGATGTGCATGCAGTGTGATTCTGTCTGTATCTGATGCGTTTGTCAGTCTGTGTGTGCTGTGTCTTTGTGGCTATGTGTCCCGTGTTTTGTGTGTGCCTGTGCAGGTCCTAATACCTGCGGTGTAGCCCTGTGTGCTGGACTGTTACTGCAGGTCAAGGTCTCTAGTGTTGTCAGTCGGACTTCCACTGCCCCCCAGTCTGATCCAGTCTAGGTTTTACAGTGTTGTCAGTGTTGCACAGCAGTCTGATCCAGTCCAGGTCTGGACAACTGTGGAGGTGCACTGAAGTTGCTCTATGTATCTGGCTCCCGTATGTTAGTTTTTTATACCAGATACACGACTGCTGTGTTAGTGTCTGCTCCCTTTTGTGTCCGGTTTTGTATCTGCCTGCTGGAACCAGCAATGGTGGGATCACAGAGTTCCGCTTGCATTCACAGGATGTGATGTTGCTGATTGAGGCTCAGACATGTTCATTGAGACCTTGTATATATTCTGTAGTGTTTTAATATTAAGTGTTATATATAAAACGTTGGTGAGTGTTTTAGCATGAGCATGAGTCGCAAGCATCATGCATTGAAATGGTCTGCCCTATTGCTATATAATGTTTGTGCCATTACCCAATTTCTCCTCCAGATGGTGCTGTGTTGCGTTTTTTTTTTTACACTCAGACCTGTCCCTTTCCACACTTCCTGTCTGTCGCGAATCTCTGCCATAGGATGGCTCTGGACCAATGAGGCGGCAGGAGCGGGCGAGCAGAGGCGGGCCAGGGTGGGAGAGAGACCACACCCCCGGCCACGCCCCTGGACCCGACAGGCTCCCGGTGTTCCTGTTCCCCGCCGAGCTGACGTTCTTCGCGGAGGAGCGCAGCACCCACAGACAAGTGCTCACCCTCTACAACCC